TGGGTGTTCTATTATTTTCTCGGTTGAGGTTTTTCATACCCTAACATGCAAATTATTAATACCCAAATAGAAGTTATGTGCGTCGTTATATTAAATTACAGTGAAATCGTAAAAGCATTGATTGTAAATTACAACGATTTTTCTGTCATTATTTTCCTCTAGTATAAACTCTTCTCATTTAGTGTGACGGTATGCACATCAATCTAGAAGAGGCAGCCTCTAATTTCTAAATGTAAATAGATTATTAATATTGATTTCTGTCTTATTTTATAAAAATTACCTTTTAATGTTTAAAGGTCCATTTTCCATAGAAATATGAATACATGAGCGACTAGCCTCTTGATATATAAAAACGAAATGGGGTTTTAACATCCTACTTTTCTGTACCCTCTGGGCTATTGAAGACGGGACCCTCCTGATACACCGTACACAGTTTGTGATTATGTGTTATCTTAATGGCAATAATATCTTATGACTTCAAGAAGAGTCCAAATATTATCTTGGAATATCCTACTTAAAAGACCAATACATTTGACGGGCTTGGAACTTAAATATAGAACAAATATAAACGAAAATGATTATGTTCTCCTCCGTATCACCAATTTGATTTATTGTAAATCGTTAATGTAACGTCTTATAATAAGCACAATTGTATGAATGATCCGAAAGTCCAAATATTTAAGTCCGTGGAGTATTCCCCTTGCTTAAAGTTTGACCACTAAAGACTGCATGGAAATTGAAATGATATATCAAGCACAAGGAGTGATGCTAGCTAGATATTACGAAAATGTTTAACGACCCGATTTGAAAAACGCTGGTGCTCCGATTAGTGTCAAGTTTACAGCTGGTTGATAAATGTTTGGAAAGATGTAATATTTTGGAACCAGATTTACACAATTTCAGTAATGCCTCTTTAAACATACAGCAAGAGCTTAATCTGCCTAATGCAGGCCTTTCTTTAGGCCTGAAATGTTTTCTAAATTATTAATTGGACATTAATTAACTTATCTAGGCCATAATCAACTCTCGAGGGCACGGGATTTCTCCGATATTAAATAGATTAGAACAGTTCAGCCATATTTTGATTTAAGCTAAAAATGGAGGAGCGAGACTTAGCTTCGAACAACCAGTACGGTGGTTGAAATTATTGCACACGTCTTGTCAAACTTTCAAAGGCTAATATATTCGCCCGCATTAGAGTAATTTGAATGAAATTTTCAATATATTCATTTTACATTATCTATTTTTGAACTATTATAGCAAGAATGGCTAGCTCTTTATCTAAATCTTACATAATGTATCTTTAAGTAGTTCCATAGCTTCCACCAATTGTTTAAAGAGTCATTAATGGTATCATTATTTAATTACTGGAGGGAGGTTATTTTAGACAAACCTATTCTTCACATATTCAAATATTACAGTATGCACACATAACATATGTAACGCTTTGGTTCGAATGTAATTCTGAACATCAATTTAAACAATGTACATAGATGCCAAAATAGGGTTGTCAAAGGAATATCCAACGTGTACGTAGTATTAAGCTGACTTCAGTCGAACTCGGAACCATGCCCTCATTTGGTCAGTTAGATTTGATAAATATTTATATGATCATATAGTTAGAGTGACAATTATAGAGGATAAGAACAAGATATAAGTGAAATTGTCATTGTCTACTTATGGCGTGCAATTCCGTTTTTACTTATATAGAAAATTTCACGATGATAAATAAACACAATATGTGTTTGCTGTAGTTAGAAACTTGAAAAATCGCGAGAATAGTAGTGATTTTTATTGTCTCTTGATGTGGCAATGATTCTGTTAAACCATTTTTACACAATTGAGTATCTTAAAGGTCGCTTGTCGACAATGTCGAGGCTAATTGCCATGGAACACTTCATGACTACAGTCCAATATCCATACCAGTATTTCATTATAAGACAGACGTAAGAGATGGTCATTAACCTCTATTTACTAGTATACTTCCAGTTAGTACACCGCATTTCATTTATTGGCGATAAGGTATCTAAATACCAATTTCTACTAATGTATCGCCTCTAGCAGTCTTTAGTGTTATCAAATCATCTATTAAATGAAAGAAACCTATGGGAAACATCGAATGACATTGTCCAAAAGTGAAAACATAGGAATTTGTCGATGTCACACCATTTTCAGACAAATCCATCATATTGCATACTGTTTTTCTTTCTTTTTTTAAAAGCATTCTTGTGAATAGAGTCATCTTTCCAGTGTTTCATAGGATATTTTTACTGATCGATTGACGTTACATGTTTCTAAGGTTCTATTTCGAAAAGCTGTAGTCTTGCACTAAGAAAATAATTACCAGATCAATTTCTTCCAAGTAATGAGAAGGAGAAAAAACAATGTAAAGAAACGTACGGATTCGTGTAATATAATAGTAAGTTAATGAAGGCTGGTTTTTCAATGAAGTAAACGTCTGGATTGTTTTTACAGTAAAAAAGAAATTTCTCGTTAGAGTTTACAAAATGAATATAAAACTTTCTGTTCCGAGAAAGGGAGTGGGGTTTAACGTCAACTCCACACAAACTAAATCATTTCGGGACTAATATATAGTACAATTACTGACAGACCTTAATATGATCTAGAGGGCACGCGATACATAAGCCACTCATCATCCCCGCACCAACCAGCCACCCCATCCCACTTTCTATTCAGTTTGTCTATTCCAAATTCCACAACCGTTACATTTAGATAAACCGAGTCTTTATTGGGGTTGTCCTTACAGCTTCGAAAACCTTACTCTAAAACAAGAAGCACAATCTGAACATTTCCTTCTAAATAATAGAGAGAAAGAGAGAGAGAGAGAGAGAGAGAGATTTGACGATATAAATCAATCAGAAATCACAGTTCAACACCCATTGAGTTGTCGGCAAAGTGCAAAGTACAATAATCAAGGAAATATATATTATAACCGTGCAGGTTATAGTATAATTTAAATCTTGAATATTTAAGATAATGCATTATTAATTTTAAAAGTGAAAGCCCTCAGATTGAATTTATTTAAACTCTCGGGACAATAACTTTTCTATTCCTTTAAAACATTAATTGTATGTGTGCTATTAAAAGGTGACTAGCCAAGGGTGAAATGTTATGTAATCCTAATGACATGTTAATTTATTATAATCCCTTATTGTTTATAAAACTGTTATAGATAGAAAGTAACTGACAATATGGCCTACCTGGTGAACATGCCAATCGTATGATTAATCTATTAATTGTTTTATTTACCATTGTTTTATTTCTTATATTGTACATTATTACATCAATGCTTATTTATGTCAACACTTGATCTAGCCAAGTGATTAGAAGTAATTCCATATAAATATGTGATTGTACTTGATACGTCAGTCATTTAGGTCTATCCGACTTAGTAGCATAAGGTACTAGTCGGTTATCCGCGGTCCTGTAAGTGTATGTGGATAATTGTTATTATAAGTTTCCAGTATTAAAGATTTGAAGAACCATTCCAGACTCTTGTAATATCTGACGGACCTCACGGTCACAATATTATAAAACTAAATAGACAGGACTCTAATCTTTCTAAAGTTGGTATTAGGTTGTGTTCTAATCGATTGTTGTCTACGAGAAAATAAACTACGGTCGTCTATCGTAGATGGTTTGTGTATACTTTTGATAAAATCAACTCGATTGAATACAAAGACTTAGTTATTGACGCAGTAAACACGTTAACCTTCTTCGTAGATTAAAATGCCAAAGTGCGAACCTCGGCTATATAAAATTCACCACTGGAATCTTCCCAACTGTGGGATTTTCTATTGTCCTATTTGAAGCAATTGCCATTGTGACCTTCTTCTCTAAACTAATGTCAATTATCACTATTTCACCACGGGGACTATAAATTCTTCTTTAATGTCTAGTGATTGGACTGTTTTCTTCGTTCTCAAAGAAAATGGCTGTATGCAACCTTGTAACCCCGTGTTCATCCGGCTATTGGTTAACAGCTGAGAGTATGTAGAAACGATTGACACATAACTCAATTTAAACAATTTACTATATATTTACTAACATCCAAATCAAACTGTTGAACATAATGTAGACCTAATGCGTTACATCGTCGTGTATGATTTAAATATCATACTCAACATGGATAGGCGTACTGGACTATTTGTTTGGGCGGGAGGCGGGAGTGGCGGCATTGGTATTTTGCCCGACTGTCATCAGACACCGGTGGTAGCCGAATTTACACGTTTTGTCCACAGGATATGAATTTTGATAATACTGAATCGGAATATTAGTCATTACTATTTGGTGACAATCCGTAAAAAGAGCCCCCCCCCACCCACACTTTGAAATACGCGGATGGAAAATCAATTAAAGGTACAAAAATTCAGATAGTTTTATAGTTTTATAAAAATTACTCCTTGTCACGTACAACCGGGAAATCGAAACCACGCCAGCTGACTCAATGAAAGACCCTATGATACAGCGTGCACGCGCTAACCATTCGGTCCCCCCCCCAACTTTAATATAAAGACCCTTGTTATTATGCAATCATTAAGAACATACGATTATAATAAAAACGTGGATGTGTTATACGAAACAGTTAACATAATTATTATTACTTTATTTATCGAAGGCACATATAGATGGTGGTGTGAAATTAATCAAAACCTGAACTAATCATAACTTAAGTTAGATTTGATCGATCTGAATAACTATATGATCATGATCGTGTATGACTATATACACTATATTTGGACTTTATTCTGGAACTTTATGGCTGTAACGCAGTTTTCAATATAGATGGTTGAATTTGTAGCTGTAGTGTTGAAGAACGAGCAAATTCATATGAGGGGGGCAGTAGGTCTAATGCTTTTATTACAAACTTTCCGATAACTTTACTGGAAAATATTAAATCATTCAATATTTCATTACGTGGGTAGGTTATGCTAATGCTGAAGCTCTTTTATTTTGAATTAATAATATATATTTTTTAGATGAAAGTAGTGATGATGACGATGATGATGAAGATGAAGATGAGAGGGAGGGTGAAGGAGAAGAGGGTGGAAGTTGTCCAGAAAGTTTAGAAGAGCCGTCGGTAGAGGAAGAGGAAAGACTACTGTGATAGTAAAGAATGAGACAGAGTAGTATTATACCGCTTAGATCTACTACCAAGTGTTTATATGTATAAAATATTTTATATTTGTAAATTTTGAACAGGTCAATATCTTTTTCCACTCAAGTGCTAGATTTAATATAACTTTGTTTCATTGGCATTCTTATAAATACATTTAGTGAGTATCTTGTCCTGGCAGAATCCATTTACAAAAGCAGGAAAATTCTTTGAAGGGCAATTCAACCAAACGATTATGTCTATTTTATACAATTATCATCATTATTTATTTATTATATCTGACGTGTGTCATACTTTGATCAATTCTTCTTAGAGTAAAATCTTGTGATCTTTTTTATATTTAAATGACCGAAACGGTTAGATTGTTCAGAGCTCACAAACGGAATTAAATAACGTCTTCTATAAGAAAACAAAAGATTGAATGATGTGAATTAAGGACTAGGGCCGTCAATGAATGATGGGATGAAGGCAATGTTGTGAGATGTAAAGTATTGTTAAAATATAAAAGGAAAATCGTCTCCTGTTTGTTGATGTTATTTTTTAGACTAACCGACTGGCATAATTATCTTAACTGAACCGACTGGTCTGTCTTAAATGAACCGACTGGTTTATCTTAAATAAACCGACTGGTTTATCTTAAATTAATCGACTAGTCTATCTTAAATTAATCGAATGGTCTATCTTAAATTAACCGAATGGTCTATCTTAAATTAACCCACAGGCCTATCTTAAATTAACCCACAGGTCTATCTTAAATTAACTCACTGGTCTATCTTAAATTAACCGACTGGTCTATCTTAAATTAACTCTCTTCTCTCTTATAATTAACCGACTGATCTATTTCAAATTAACCCTCTGACCCATCTTAAATAAAGCATCTGGTCTCTCTTAAATTAACCACCTGTTCTATCTATCTTAAATTAACCGACTGGTCTATTTCAAATTTACTCTCTGATCTATCTTAAATTAACCCACTGTTCTATCTTAAATTAGCCCTCTGATCCATCTTAAATATTAACGGGAGTTTTGATCTTATAGTTAGTCATCTGACATATTTTTTCATTTAAAATTCCCGAGACATAAACAGTAAGTTAGAAGATTAAAACAAAAAATATTAGTTAGTAGCCGGCGGTCCAATTAAAATTATAACAAAACTTCGTTCCATTTTATTTTTCGGTTGTTTGTTTCAATATTTCTTTATAGGGTGTGTTCGATAATGCGTGGTAAGAAAATTCAGTGAAATTATTCTAAAACATTTCTCTCCTAACTTTGATTGACCGTTTAATTAATATCAAAGTTACTATCCTTTGTTGTAAAAGAACTTGTCTCATACATGTCTTCAGATGTTTATGCGGGGGACAACCGTAAAAAAAACCCTTAAAGGAAAATAACGTCTAGTTTAAATTAGATTCGTTAGAGTACACTTACAATCGCTTAACGTTGGCGGTATAAAGGAAACGTGCACCAATGCACACTTCAAATAGTTCTTTGGTTGGGTAAAAATCAAAATGTTGATCTCATTAAATTTGATGTGTTTTGCAAAGTGTGTATATGTCTACTTTTAAAATAAGCACAGATAAAGCCAATGTTGAAGTATAACTGATTTTGTGTTCGAAAGTCGACAGCTTAATCCACTTACGAGAATAATTTTTGAAAACCTGGTTTCCACTCAATATTTCGAAACAAGTTTCATATATCTTGTCCCATCACTAATCGAAATAACAGATAAGATCAAGCCATTTAGTACTTTTTTTTATCTGAATAAAACAGCTTAACTTCCTTTTAATCAATTGTTCTTTGGTTTTACCATACAGTCCTTATGTGAACTATTTGGTATAAATATTTTAACAGTTTTTATTAGGTTATGCTTGCTTCTCCAGATACATAATTAATATAACAATACGTATTGCGCTTTTGTCAATAAAGGTTATATTAACGTATTAACGTTTAATTCTCTTGGGAATAATCACGTTCCATGAGATGCTTTCAATTTATCAAATTAATATTTGAAAGTTTTTAATGTAATTCCCTTGAATGAGCAAAAACAAAATCTCATTATTGATTTCCTAGATGAACATTGTTTTGTTTTTGCATGTAAAGGTAAAGATGTATTTTATGTAATAAAAGTCCATACGATATCCAAATTTTCTTATCTAGTTTTTCTTAACTATAGCTCGCTAAATTCAAGCGTTGGAGCATCTTCATGACTACTATTCGCTGACGATTAACTCATTCATTCAAGTTGAAATGTAGATTTACCCTTTGAATCCCACTGTGATCTGTCTTTGGTTGCCAATTGTCTTGTTCCATTGAATTTTAGTATCGGAAACTATGCTGTTTTATAATACACTCAAACACCAGAATCAAGACTTCTAGGAATCGAGCCCGGTGTTAGTCGAGAAAAATTCCTCCGGAATGGAGGGCATGACCGGGAGAGAAAGTCTACTCGTTTGCGTAAACGTAAAATAACTATTAGAGACTTCTGGCAAACGTGAATTCCTGGCCCGTATTACCTATCCGTGTCGATTTTGCTTATGACGTCATCAATGCATGTGTATTTCTCATACGTGATACGGCACACGGATACGGCAGTACGTATCAAACTGCTTTCATATGTTGTGCCATATAGCTTGTTTATGAATCTATGTGTATCCTAGAACACAAAGTTGTATATTTGACGTGATTTTAATAATGATTAAGACTGGAATTTAATCATTATTTTTGTTGAGTTTTTCTCGGAATTTTCATATTCTGTCTGTCTGCTTTCTGTTTCATCTACGTGCTCGGGAGGTGGCACCTTGCAAATCAGTAAATGATGTGATTCTATGGTAAAGGGGTATAAACTTTGGAAATGATACTTTATGGAAACCGAAAAATTACTGTCGAGTCGAAGCCGAAGATTTTTTTTTAATAAGATTCAACATTAAATTTTTTTTTAATAGCTCAACGACTGTCGGGCGACTTTACTCCCTCCATGAATTTTTAGGCTAGACATTAGACTAAGGCTGATGGTGATCTTGGTAGATCATGCTGTATTAGAACTAAGCTCAGCTCAGCTACTCATATGTACGTTGAGGGAAAATCTGCCAAAACTCTAAAGCTACAATGACGTATCGTCACGTGATACGGATGGGAAAAAATCTGCTTGCCAAAAGTCTCTGTACTGTCACGCCGCTGTCCGGAAAAACATTTCCGTCATAGCACATTGTGTTAGTCCGGTGGTTTCAGATCAAAACATATAACGGCTATCTGATTATTAAGTGTTTAATTTAATATGGTATATGCATGAACTAATTGAAACTTATATGGAAGGAGCCAACTTGCGCTTTCCTTAAAGTCTCCATGCGTCATTTGCATTTTTTCGGCAATGAAATGTTGTTTAACGTCCTACATTTCTACACTGATAGGACTAATGAAGACAGTGAGGGAAATTTTGTCTGGACAACAGGCACTACTGCCTACTCTTATTTCGGGGGTTTCGTACCATTCGAACGACTAGACACCGTTGCCAATATCATAATTTTCAAGGAATTACCAATTCACCAAATGACGTTCAAAGACTTTAATTAAAGAACGTTTAGTGACGTCACCAATGATATCATATTTTCAATATGGCGCCCGCATACTTGAAAATGGGGTGATGGTTTTAGTCAATCCGCCAGGTATGTTTACTTTGTGTGTAGAAATTAATTATTGGAGTGTTTTTTTTTTGATAACCTTTACAACTGACAATGCCTTGATCTAGTTCCGCCAGTGATGTCATGAAGACAGTCTTAATTCGGTGTTGGGTTTGAGGCGTATAGACGGGGTCCACTAGAAATATAATTAATCAAATTAAGCCATTATTGACCATCGCACGCAGGAGAGTTTTTTTGACTGTCATTTTGGACTACAATATTAACTCCGCTCACTAGGAACTGAGAACAGATATGTTGTAACTTTGTCTAATATAGGTCACATTTGAATATATTCCAATATACCCCAGTGTCTATGGTAAATAATTAAGTTGTATGTAAGTAAGGTATATTGTAATTTCGTGATTTTATAGTTAGTCTAGACTAGTATATATGTGGAGAGAGCGACACATCGCGTGTTATTGTTGTATGTTTGTTTCTGTGAATTATTAACGCTTCTTATAGTATCTTAATTTACCTGGAGAGGAAGCCAACGTCATAATAAATAGCCTAGATACCACAAAAGCCACAGGACCGGATAAAATTAGTACGTACATTCTAGAATATATCTCAAAAGAAATCCGTTATCCTCTCTGCCAACATGCCAAGATGCATTATGTAAGATTTTGGAAAAGAGCTGACAGTTATCGCTATAAATGCTTAAAATAGATAATGAAACAGGATTATATTGAAAACTTCCATCAAATTAATTTATTCTGAGCGAAGTTATGACTGATTGATGAATAGCGCAGTCTCGATTTTCATTGCTACCGTTGTTACGATAATGAAACAAACTCTCGGTTATCCATTTTTAAATTTAAATAATTAAATGGCAATCGTGTTTCAATCAGTTCAAAATCACAACAATCCAATGGTTTAGAGATTTGAGTACGGGCTTCTCATGTGAATAAATGCCTAATTAATAATTTATATAAAGGCTAAAAGAAAGACCTGCAAAAGACCGATAAAGCCCTTACATAAGGCATTTTTAAATTATGATTAGATTTACACACCGTACTAAAAACCTGGAAATGTGTTAATGTAGCTGGTATATGCAAAAAAAAAGACAAACCAAACGGTTGTAATAATCACAGACCTATCTCTCTTCTAAACATATCATCAATAATTTTGTCTTTAACTTCCTAAAAGTTAATGTCATACTAACATCAGTCAACGGCCACTTTCTTGCTTGTGATTCTAATATAAAA